GTCCCAGCTACTTGGGAGCTGAGGCAGGAGACTCGCTTGAGCCCAGGAGTTGGAGGTTGCTGTGAGCTGTGATGCCACGGAGCTCCACCCAGGGGGACAGCTTGAGGCTCTGTCTCAAAAAAAAAAAACAACTCAAACAGAGGAATCACATAGGCTCTTGGTCTGAAGCTGGGGGAGAGATCTGGTTGGAAAAGTAAATAGGATCACAGTTAGCATATGGAAGGTATTTAAGTAGAGGAGTAAGTCCCAGCTTGGATCCTGGCAAGTTTAGCCACAGTTACAGGAGAAAAGGCAGAGTACTATACACAGTAGTAGGCATGGTGGTGGGCACAGGGGCAAAGTCTCTTCCAATTGTGTCTGTTTTCTCACCGAAGCTAAAGTAAGCTCATCCCTCATCTGAGAGTGAGGTGGTAGGAGGCCATGTGAAATAGTCTTTGTGGGGACAGATCAGGGAAATTTAGCAGAATGCCAGGAGCCACTTAAGGGCCCACTTGAAGCTAGTGTTTATGACTACAAGGCCCGTAAGCAGAGTAGAGCGGGGTTTTCCCTCTCGCCATGTTCAGCAGCCTGGGCGAGAGTGTGAAGTAGTAGGTAGATGTAGGATTTAACCGGGTTGGGGTGGTGCCAGGCAATGACAATGAGAAAAGAGAGGGCAAAGAGACTGTGATAGGCTATGGACCTTACATCGGGTAGATAATCAAGTGAGGACATAAGGGTTTATTACACGGTCAGAATAAATTGTTCCTTCTAGCAGAATGAAGAAATACTGGAGGTTGGAGGAAGGAGCTGCAAAGTCAGGAGCTGGAGGTTGGAAAGCAGGATGAAGCTGGGGGCAGTGGCTCACGCCAATAATTCTAGCACCTGGGGAGGTCAAGGCAGAGGATGATTTTTTGAGACTAGGAGTTCGAGACCAGCTTTGACAACATAGTGAGATGCTGTCACTGTCACCAGGTGTGGTGGTATGCACCTGTACTTTTAGCTACTTGAGACAGGCTGAGGCAGGAGGATGACTTGACCCCAGGAGGTCAAGCGAGCAATGATGGCACCATTGTACTCCAGCCTGGGTGACAGAACAAGACCCTGTTGCTAAAATGATAATAACAAAAATAATATAAAATTGAGATGGTACACGTATTGATAATGACAAAAATCAAGGGTTGACCTGGACATGAACAGCTAAGGTTAGGATGAAAGACCAGGGCATGGAAAGGGAAGAGTCCCAGAAACTGAGAGGCCAAGGAATTGGCAGAATCCTCAGAGTCAATAGTGAAATTATCAAGAACTGTGGCAGGGATCACTGTGGTGGGATGGAGGGACAGTGAACTCAGATGCCAAGGTCTTTAAGGAATGGGGGATGGTGGTGATCCAGAGGTCTATAGAGATTAAAGAAAGGTTGTGAGGGGCATGGGCAGATCATATGAGCTGCAGAGGAACCAGAGGGAGGACAGGTAGCCTGTACCTGTGGTTAGTGCCCTGCCCCACGTCTAGGCCCAGCAGGCAGAGATGTGGAAGAGAGAAAGCAGCCTTGTGAGAAAGGGCCGCAGAGGAAGCCCACAGAAGCTCAGCCGAGAGCGCATTTCTGTTCAGGTTAGAAAGGTGAAAGGAGTGTGTGAGGTAGCTAGAATAGTCAAGTTCACAGGGGCAAGAAGCAGAATGGTGGGGGGCAGGGAATGGGGAGTTAGTGTTGAGCGTGTACAGAGTTTCAGTTTGGGTTGATGACAGGGTTTTGCAGGTGGGTGGGGGGTGATGGTTGCGCAGCGATGTGAGTGCAGTTCATATCACTGAGCTTGTATACATAAAAGTGGTTACAATGATAAAGTTTATGCCATCTATCTTTGCCTAGGTAAAAAAAAAAGAAGGAACCATCTGAGGAGGAGATGAGCAAGTAAGGGGAAGGTGGACCTTAGGCAGAGGGGAATAGGAGGGGAGCAGGGTCACAGTGGAGGGTAGACCATTGGGGTCGTGGAAGGTCCAGGGGCTTTGCCTTTGTGGGTAAGCAAAGTAAACAGGGGTGTGGGGCACAGGGTCGGTCTCCATGGTCTCTGGCAGATTTTGGTGGCCAGGTTCTGAGTACTGGGTACAGTCTCCCCTAAGGGGTTCTGTTACTTTGTGTCTTTGTTTCCCTAGCGCCTGATGTATACAACAGGGGAATGTATGTTTAAATGAGTAAACAAATGCATTGTATCCAAAGAAAGAAAATGGCAAGTGAGAATGTAATGGCCTTGCTGAAAATCAAATGTTATTTCCCCAAGAAGTGATGAAGAATAGAGTTGGTCTCTGGAGGAAAAAGAAGATTTTTGACAAATGTGCAAAAGAACTTATTGCGCAATTGTTAAGTTTTAAGCAGGAAAAAAATAAAACCATAAACAGAAGCCTACAAATGTATAATGGGTTGTTTGAATTGAAATACTTTCCCACTTATATAACTGATTTCATGGTGAATTTGTGATTTGCAGTGAATTATCCTATTCTGTGCTAAATAAGAATATTAGCTTTATAAAATGTTAAGACTTGGTCATTTGTTGTCAACTGAGTTTAAAGGGTTGAGACCATAAAACCCTCTTCAATTAATGGGTTTGTATCTTTCCAGCCTATAGAGATTAAATTGCAGAGATCAGCTTGTTTGTTTTATTATTAATACTTACACCCTGAAACTGGAAAGTATTATACCTGCATACCTCTTCAAAGACTCACAAGTATTTTTTATTAATCACTAGATATCTTTTTATTTATTTTTTTTTAGATATCTTTTTTAAAATATACTTTATATTCCGTTTAAGTGTCTTGCTTTTTCCCTAAAGTTGAGATGGGCTACCTTTTAAGTTTGTTTCCAGGTACAGGTTTGATTTTCTTTTGATAAATCCAGAAAAGTGCTGGCTGGTGGCCAACTTGCATTGTGAAACGTGTTCAGCAGCTCCCAGACCATTGTCATGCCCCGTTCTTCTTGTTGTTGTCGTTTTAGTGACAGCTATATTGTGCGTGTCAAGGCTGTGGTTATGACCAGAGATGACTCCAGCGGGGGATGGTTCCCACAGGAAGGAGGCGGGATCAGTCGCGTCGGGGTCTGTAAGGTCATGCACCCCGAAGGCAATGGACGAAGCGGCTTTCTCATCCATGGTGAACGACAGAAAGACAAACTGGTAATGGCAGACATACCACACATGGGTTAAACTAGCAACGACTGGTTTCTTTGCATTAAAGCACAGCTATCTTCCCTTGGGTGTTTTTTATTTTCTCTCTCTGATTTCAGACTCTTACAAAAGCTTCAAAAGTTTGAACTCTGAGCCAGTGCCAAATTGCAAAACATGACCCTCCCTTTCCAGCAAAGTTTCTTATGACCACACACCATATAACTCATACGATTACAAGCTTATTTGGCTGTCTTGTTTGTGTCTTTAAGTAAGATATCTTTCTGTCACTGTAAGAAGGTATTCAAAACGAAAGAGTGTCCTCTATTATGAATCATAGTTGTATTGAGCTTTGTGAAATCAGAGTTTTAAGAGTGTGGGCTTGTGGTGGAGCACATCACTAAGGTTTGGGCAGAAGGTGAAATGCAAAGGTGGAGTATCGTCTAACACTTGGCTACTTCTAAGAAATGTTTGTCTAAAACATACTGTTGAACATGTTGAAAACAGTAACAGAAAGCATCACACTTCTATAAATAATCGTGCATGCTTACAGAAAAATACTCGGGAGAGTAAGCATTAGTTCAAAATGTAGATTCCTGAAGGAACTTGAATATCCAGTTCTGTGTTATGAAGGACTCTGTGATAGGAAGGAAAGTTGAATATCCAAATCTGTTTTGAGTGAATGGGCCTAAACATAGAAGAAGACTACTCCTGTCTTCACAAATCAGAATCACATCATGGAGTGGACGCTCCAGAGCCACCAGGTGATTCAGAATGTGCAGGATTGTACACAGAAAAAAATGCAGAGATACCTCAGGAATATGTCAGTATTAGATTTGAGACCCTTTACTGCAGCATCTGTTGAGTTTTATGTGTCAAATGTACAAATGTAATCTTTTGCAACCACTTCTTACACTTTAAAAAAGTTACAAAATGGATAAGACAGAACAATTTGTAGATGTTATCTATGGCTTAACAGAAATGCTGTTTTCACACTTGATTCATTTCTGAAAATTTAAAGAGGGAATGTAGCTAATTTTAAGAAGTATCTATTCAAGAAATTCCCTGTATAATAGTCAAATAATAAAAATATTCTTGTTTTTATAGCACTTTTCCAATAAAGGCAGTTTAACGGTATTAGCAATAAAAAGTAAAAATGACTATCATTTATCTAGTATTTATCATATGCTAAGTACCATGCCAGGCTTTTGGTTAGGTTGTATGAATAACTATCCTTACAGCAGTCTATATAATTTTAATTGAGGAAATTAAAATTCAGAAAAATTCCTTATTCTTGGTGACCCATTTTTTGGGGGTCTAGAACTAGTATTTGATACCCTGGTCACTCTGACTCCAAAACGCAATCAGAATCACAATTGTTAGCCCTTTGATAAAGGAATACATATTTTTGGGTTTTATTTTTATTTTTAGAAACAGAATCTCACTGTGTTGCCCAGGCTTCGCACAAACTCCTAAACTCAAATGATCCTTCCTCTTCAGCCTCCCAAGCATCTGGGATTATAGGCTAACGCCACTGCCCCCAGGCATTTTTTAATTTTACATAGCTATGATCAATTTAGAAATAGTTTTGTATCTCATTTGTTTTGCCCTGATGTTTCCTTGTTTGGCTATTTCCTTAGTGTCGAATACTAAAGTTCTTTCCTCATCCCTACACCCTCAGCATTATGAATAGACACCTATGTGCATTTTTCACATTTATTATTTTGGGGATATAATTTGAAGGCGGTCAGATTTTCATGATTTTTGATATGTGACCAAAGGGCTGCTGCCAACAGCAGAATTTCCTTTAACACATTGAGGGTCATACTTTTTTATTTTGGGGGGGACAGAGTCTCACTCTGTAGCTCTCAGTAGAGTGCTATGGCATCACAGCTCACAGCAACCTCAAAACTCTTGCGCTCAAGTGATTCTCTTGCCTCAGCCTCCCAAGTAGCTGGGACTACAGGCTCCCGCCATAACGCCTGGCTATTTTTACAGATAAGGTCTCCCTCTGGCTCAGGCTGTTATCGACCCTGTGCTCACAGGAGGCGATCCACCCTCCTCAGCCTCCCAGAGTGCTAGGATTACAGGTGTGAGCACCATGCCTGGATCAGGTCATAGATAGAATAGTGTTATCGTGAGATCAAATGTTTTTCTCTTCAAACAGTTGTAACTGTTGATGTCCTTTGTATATTTGTTTATTGGGGCCATATTTTTCTCTTTAATATGTATTCCATCTTCTATAAAAAAGATATTAATCCATATTTGCTGCAAGTATACTAGTATACTTTTATACTCTGTTACTTGCCTTGTAATTTTAGTGTTCTCTTCCTGCAGAATTTTGATAGAAATGTTTTTCGCTTTTGTCCCCTTTTTATTTTTATCATTATGCCATGTTAGTACATTATCTTATCTGAGGGTTTATGTATGTGTAGAGCTGTTTTTTTCTTGTTATTTCCATGGTTTCTCATAAAATATTTCAACCTAAAATCAGCCTTTAGACTGGCTAATCCAGCCCCTTAGTTTTATAAACACTGTGTCTTACTAGCGTCTTGCATAATAATCATAAACTTCTACCATTTAGCTTGAGGCCCTTTACATAAGTAACCTCAGTTAAATTCCTGCAACATTCTGAAAGAGTAAGATGTTATTATCTCCATATATTATAATGGAGAAGCTCAGTGCTCCAAGAAGCAGCCCACTTCCTCAGTCTGGGGCATGCGGTCATTGGCAGAGCCAGCATTAGAGCCCATTCCTTTGGCAACCCAAAACCCAGTCCCTTCATACTAGTAGGGCAGTCTCACACTTCGGTGCCTTCCCTGGAGTTGCGGGCCAGCTTCTGTTGTTGGTTGCTGTTGCACAAGGATAATACAACCCTAAAAGTGTGCCTCGTCCCCTCCCCCATGATGCTCCTCCATCTCCCCAGCCCACTTCCCATCCCTTTCACATTCTGTTTCTGGGGCTTAAATATTCTCTAGAACTTAAAGTGCACACACACACCCAGCTGTACTTCTCCATCTTTCCATCCTCACCTTGCCTATTTCATACTATGTGGGAAATTCTGGGTTCTATCCTCAGTAATGTGTAACCCCCACCTTCCGCTCCATCCCCACCACCACCCCCACACACACCACACAGATAAGTGACTCTGCCTTTGGCCTTGCAAGCATTTATAATGTAGGACTTGTGCCCAACTGGAGGGTATGAGGCCACATGGCAGCTCTACAAAGGGGGTGGGTTGTTAAGGGAACATCTCCCCCCACCCAAAAGGTGGAATAGTGAGGAAAAGATGAAGATCATTTTTCTGATACATTGATTAGGGGGGTGGGTATCAAGTCCCCAGTATTCCAATGAGATCATTAAATGCTCAGATCATCTAATAGAAATTAGTGGCCTCAGCTCGGCACCTGTGGCTCAAGCAGCTAAGGCGCCAGCCACATACACCTGAGCTGGTGGGTTTGAATCCAGCCCAGGCCTGCCAAACAACAGTGACGGCTGCAACCAAAAAAAAAATGGCCAGGCATTGTGGCGCCTATAGTCCCAGCTACTTGGGAAGCTGAGGCAAGAGAATTGCTTGGGCCTAGGAGATAGAGGTTGCTGTGAACTGTGATTCCATGGCACTCTACCCAGGGCAACAGCTTGAGGCTCTATCTAAAAAAAAAAAAAAAAGAAAAAGAAATTAATGGCCTCATTCGTTTTTCCAATGGAGTGTGGTTCTAGAATTCAGCAGGTTATAGGATTTTCTGTTTATTTTTAACTATATATTGAGGTCTATGAACTGAACTGCCATTGTTTCTATTAGAAAAAATTTCTGTTCCAGACACCCATTCACAAGTAATTCTTCTGATAATGTTATGGTAAGTTGGCACCAAGCCTAAAATACATGTAAATTAAAATATTCTGAGTTGCATCTTAATTTTAGATGGATTAGAGGAGTTTACTCCTTAAATCCTGTGATGATTAATTACAAAATCTAAAAGATTGAACATTCCAGTTGTTGCCCATGTGTTAGGTCAGGGAACATTCTCACTTAACATTTGATGGGAATTTGAGCTGGCAAAGCTCTTTGAAAGGCAATTTGCCACGATTTTAATTTAATTTTTTTCTTATTTTTATTTTTTGAAATACAGTGTCATCTGTCACCGTGGCTAGAGTGTAGTATGGCATCGTCATAGGTCACTGTAACCTCAAACTTCTGGGCTTAAGCAGTCCTCCTGCCTTAGCCTACTGAGTAGCTGGTACTCCAGGCATGCGTCACCACGCCCAGCTAATTTTTTCTATTTTTAGTAGAGACAGAATCTTACTCTTGCTCAGGCTGGTCTCAAACTCCTGGACTCACACAATCTTCCACCTTGACCTGCCAGAGTGCTAGAATTATAGGCATGAGCCAGGATTTTAATTTTAAATGTATATATCTTTTTACCTAGTAGTTTACATCTAAAACACCATCCTATGGAAAAAAACTTAAACACAAAGATTTATGGGCAACAATAGTTCTTACACTTTTTTGAGCTCAGGATACTTTTACACTCTAAAAATTTATTGAAAACCCCCAAGAGCTTTTGTTTTTGTGAGTTGTAGCTGTTACTATTTACCAAATTTAGAAATTAAAACTGAAATTTAAAAAAACTATTAATTAAACAATACTGTTAATATAAATGACATTTTACAACAAATAACTAACATTTCCAGAATAAAAGTATTTCAGAAGAATAGTGGCACTGTTTTATTCATGTATTTGGAAGTCTCTTTAATATCTGGCTTAATGGAAAATAGCCACATTCTAGTATCTACTGCTTTTAATCTGTTGTATTACTTTGGCTGATGTATATAAAGTCCAGCTTCCCACTGATAATGTGGTTGGAAGGGGAGAGATGTTTTAATAGCCTTTTCAGCCAATCATAGATATTCTTCTTTGATACTACACCCAAACTCAACCCATAGTAGTTTCATTTTGTTCATTTGGGGGTTTTGGTAGTAGTTTCTTTTTTCTTTCTTTCTTTTTTTTTTTAAATTTTTTGGCCAGGGCTGGGTTTGAACCCGCCACCTCCGGGAAATGGGGCCAGCGCCCTACTCCTTTGAGCCACAGGCACCACCCATGGTAGTAGTTTCTTAAACGTGGAATCTGAAACCCCATCATTGAACTTTTCATACTCTGTTCATTAAAAATCCACTTATATATCTCATTCTTTGAATAGATCTTTTTTACTCAGACCTGGTGGTGTAACATTGTGCATTGGTTGTCATCAGAATAATGAAAATAATCTGAGTTAAGTAGATCTTCCAAATGTTGACACATTTTATTTTATAATAACAAAAATCCCGTTTCTTAATATTGCCAGTAAATTATTAAAAACAGTCTTTTAAGTATTGGGAAGCTGTCCAAAATTCTGATTTTCTGTTACAATATATAAGGGTGTAAATTGCAGCATTTTCTGTAAAAGTGATCAATTACAAATTACAGTGATGCCCTTTAGTCTGGAGAATGGCTACATAAGTATAATACATCAATGCTGAGGAGTATCACACAGCCATCAAACAGAATCATTTTTACCTGGAGATTGGCTGCATAAATACAATACATCCGTGCTGAGGAGTATTACACAGCCATCAAACAGAATCATTTTACCTTCTTTTATCTCTAAAACATGTTTTTAAGGAAAGTAAAAGGCAAGTTGCAGAACAATTTATAGATGTGTCTACATTTAAACACACTTACAAATTTATGTATATATATCAAGAATCACAGAAAGGAAACTGGGATTGTGCCCACCATGCTGAGAGTGTGGGTGACTCTGGAAATAGAGA